TGTAAAGAAGCAAACCCATCTGCGACATAACATCTCTGAGATATCGCGATGAGCAAACACTGCGATATTAAAAATGTTCAAAGCACGATTAATATTATTAGATATCATCAGAGGTCAGTGGTATTTTATCACACCATGTTTGAGGACACTTTTTTACGTCATCTCGAATCACATCGTAGTATTATCGCAAAAACATCGCATTTTCATCACAAATAACATATCGCAATAACATTACAAAAATGATGTTGCTGTTATATCACAGATAACTTATCGCTGCGACGTCGCATGGATGAAACTTGAGTGAGACAGCGACGTCTATGCTATATAGAGTGAAAGTCATTTCCACAGTATGTTCAAGTGATTGAATAATAATGGTAAATTGAAGAAAAACAACTATATTCTCAGGGTTCATGCCACGTAGAACATTCTACCGAAATCTTTATGCTCTGATTGCAATGTTTAATCTTCAAATGTGGAATACTGTTTAAACTGTAGCCAGGTAACGATCAACCACCTACATATTCTAGCTGATTTTCTTCTTCTTCTTAAATGTACGAAACTAAGGTTATGTTCGGTATTACACTTTAGGAACTCGCAGCAAGGATTGATGGTCACTTTCGGAATAAGTTGAGGAAAATACCAGTCAAAATAAAACAGACACGTGGGAGGCGAGGTGAGATTTTCAAGATCACTGCTGAGTGCAGAGAGAATTTAATATCTGCTACATCGCAATACGAATTCGCTTATGATCCTAGTTATAACCTCCCAGAGATATCTCGGAGACATTTGTATTACCCTCGGAGTTACCAAACAGGAACATCAATGATGTCAATAAAACTATTGAAGGATTCTGATGTTACCTTGGATAGTATGAAAAGAGATATGAGCAGAAAAGTCCACAGTGTTGTTTTTATTTTGTTTATCGGATGGAATCATACTAGGTAAAGGATCAATGAATTTTCAGTTTCCATGCATACTGCATTGTGTAAAATGAGCTTCGCTAACAGTCGACATGAAATTTTGAGTTGGCGTTATGCATCCATGCATGGTCGTTCCAGGAAAATTTAATTTAGCATCATAGCCCTGGAAATTGAAGTGGATATCAGACACTCACTACTCAGAATATTGAATTTATTCATTTACTGGCTCGGGAAAACCCTCGGGTATGTTAGAGAAACGTACTTGAAGAGAATGAACAAAGCGTGTCATGGAAAAATTCGATGGAAAATAACAATAGAAAAAAGTCGATGGAATAAACAACGGTTGTCATAATAGTATATTGATACGCTATTTGGTTACAAACTGATTTTGAATTACTTCTCAACTCCAATATTATATAGGTGTAGGTAATTTTTCTTTTAGTACAATCAAATGGTATTTTTACTTGGGAAAAAGTCAAGTAGTCGGTTTCTCTGTGGTTTCATATGTTTTTGGAGGTGCTGAATTTGAATCTCAATTTTGCAAACAAAATTTCCTAGAGCAATACGAGATATTAGCAGAACAGCAAAATTTTCGGACTTTATTCGGTTTTTTGCCCATAACTCGGAAATCATACATTATATCGAAAAGACATCCCCATAGAAAGTTGAAGTAGATAAAGTTTCCTAAATATAATTGTCATTGCTCATAAATGTAGGACTAACGAGTGCGGAGATAAAGCCAGAAAAGTGACCAAATTTGCGTACTTTCAAAAAAATAGCGTTTTTCGTCGTTTTTCGCAGATAATTCCCCTACGTATTCCTCGAAGAAAGAACTATACTGTCTGATAAACTATGAAAATCATCCATTCTTAAAGTGGCTCCTTGCATTTATGTATACTGCCTGATGTGGAAGACTCCATGTGAATTCTTACCTCTGTCAGCATCTAACTCATGACTCTCGACTTGTCACTCTACTTAAGTATATTCACATCCACTAGGAAGAATATTGTTTTTCTCACCTGCCTCTTGTTATTCGTTAACGGAGTAGAAAAATCAAGCTATCTAGACCTGATCTAGGGTAGTCAGCCTTTGGCGGACTGGTACATTATAGATGAACCATGAACAAAGGTGCTCCGCGCTTTAGTGTCAGTCTCCTATAGACCCATTTTTTTTAGTAATAGTTCAGAGGGTAGTGCTTTAGCTCTTGATTGCTGAGACTCACTAGCTTACGAATTGTTGAAGAACTCTTTTCTTCTCGTTTCCCTGGAGTTGCTCAAAATTAGTAGGATTTTTCACTTCATTCTCATTTTCTGAGCTCTGTGATAAGGTGGCAATTGCTTATCTTACAGGAAGGTAAAATGTGAGCTCTGCACTTTTTTGCTAGGCGATCAGCTGCCTCATTCCCTTGACGCCTTGGAACCCACATGAGCGAGAATTGATTCTGATACTTATTCCATACAAAATAGGTGATTTTGATAGTTTGAATAGTTTATCAGGTTTTTATCAAAATGTTCAAAGAATACCCTATAATTCCAGAGTACAGAATTCTAATTTTTTTTATCCCCCATCCCACAGAATATAAAAACAAAGCAATGACATATTTATACGTTTTAAAGCTTCAATGAATATAGGTTCAAATGATCCAAATCATATAAGTTGAAAGGATGAACATGAGTATGGCAACTACGAGAAGAGAGAGAACTAAAAGAAGTCTCCAAGGCCGAGCGCTCTAACCAGCCGTTAATATTTTTTTCATAATGACGAAATTTACATGAGCTCGATAGGAAATTCGATGCTGTGTCTCTGAGTAATACGTAAAATATGAATTATCTGCGAAAACCGACGAGAAACGCTATTTTTCTAAAAGTACCCAAATTTGGTAAATTTTCAACTGGCTCTATCTCCGCACCCTTCAGTTCTACATTCATGAACAAGAACAAGTTTATCTAGGAAATTTCATCTACTTCATCTTTTTATAGAACGATCTTATCGATATAATATATGATTTTTGAGTTACGGGCAAAAAACCGAAAATAGTCCGAAAATTTCACTGTTTTTTGCTAATATCTCGGAACACTCCAGGAAATTTTGTTTGCAAAATCCAGATTTGAATTCAGCACCTCCAATAACATATAAAACCACAGATAGACCGACTACTTGAATTTTTCACCGGATTGGGTCCTAATCGTTACCGTTTTACAGAGCTATTTGGGGTATTTTGCAAAATCTATCAACTGAGTCAGGATCAACAGGAAAATATGTTACGTACTAAGGGATGGTTCCGTATAGGTTTTACCCGATTTTTACGCGAATGTAAGAGCAAATTATCGTGAAAATGCAAAATCAAAAAACCCAAATGCTACCTACCATTGGTTTGTCAAATGTCTTACCAACCTGACTTGTACCACCCACAATTTTCATTTTTTGTCGTAGTTTTTATTGGTATTGCCCAATAAACTCCTGCACTTGGTCTATATCAATGATTGCTAGACACTTTAGGAGATTCCTTGTTTGAAATAAAAGAAGTGTTCGAAATGGAAAAAGGCCTTCGTCGCTCTCGCTGTTTGAGATACGACCCCCTTAAGGGATGCCAGAAGAGAATTGCTTGAATTTTGTTCTCAAAAGCGGAATAAGTAGACGCCTGATGTAGTAATATAGAGTATCTTCTTTCAAAATGTACAGGGGATTTCGTAAACGTAAAATTCCGTTTTGAAACTTGGAAAGACATTCCGAATTATTTCGGAGATAAACGAACATTTTTTTAAGTTAGGTATTTGAACAAAATTATCGAAATGAATGACACTTTATCAAGGCAACTTTTTCTTTCCTACAAGTTGGCGTTTTCAAATTTGAAATCTGACGTTTCTTCTTTCATCAACCATCATCAACTTATTTTTTTTAAATACGGAGCTGGATTGTTCAATTCATTTTTTCACACCTTTGGATAGATATACCAAAAGCTATGAGCACAAACTTTTATTTTCGAATGTATGTTCCGTTGAGAAAAATTGTCATTTTCAGTATTTTTTTAATATTCCTCGTAATATTCAATACGAAACTGTGAATTTTCGTGAACGAAATATCCGAAAATAGCAATTCGTCATACTTTTGAGATATCCAAAGGTGTGAAAAAATGGAATTATAAATCCAGGTCCGTATATTGAAAAATAAATTGATGATGGTTTCTGGAAGAAGAAACGTCATATTTCAAATTTGAAAACGGCAACTTGTAGGAAAGAGAAAGTGACCAAAATAAATAAAGATGAAGAGGGTTTTATGAAATTTCGGTTTTTTGCGCGAGTCCGAGAGTATTAGGAATTTTCCAAGTATCAAAACGGCATTTGTCAACTTTAGCATAATTTAATCGACCCAGTATCTTTACCAATGATGTGAGACTCGAATTCCAACCACCCTGTATATACATTTCTTGCGGCTCTAATTTTTTTCCCCCACTTTGGCATTCACATTAATTTATTCTTTCACTCCAAATATGATCAGATGGTCATCGTCATCACCTCGTTTATAGATCCCTATCTCTGAAAGCATCTCATACCCACTTGAAAATCATAAAAGTATAATATAATCATTATTCATTCCGCAATTATCTTCATCTCAATGGACATCTACACTTCTACACATAAACGCATTCATTATAATAATAATTCTAATTATGTTTATAAATGGAAATGTACTTCTCATTGTGTTGTGCACCACACATATCATTACCAATAATGGCAGCTCTTGCAAATGGTAATAAGGGTAATAGTATCAAATTATACCGGTCGCGATGAAAAATGATAATTAGAAAGCACGCTACAAGGAAGGTGTACTTGTATGAATTCCTTATAAAGGATTCAAATAACAAAAATAATGATCAATTTATACTCATAAAATTTCATCAGTAAATGCATTGAAAAAAAGTGATCAGAAAAAAAGGCTCTATCGACATGTCGTAAATTATATAGGGTGTTCCATTGAAAAAATCAAAGTTGATGTCCTTTTTGGAAAAACGATTCTTTGATCTGCAAAATTGAAGTTCGTGTTATATATTGATTTGATTTTTTTTTTCGTTATACTCACGATGTTGAATGGTGGCCATGAGAATGCTGATGCGTTGCTGTCATTTATCGACGTTCCTACGATACAGCTGTCACACGACGTCTTTCGCGCTCTGTGAACAAAAATATATTCTTGTAAATGTCATAAATTCATTTCAACCAATTAGAAGGCTCCTTTATATTTCTGTTGCTTATAGCAACGGGAGATTATCGGCTATAATTGCACAAGTGCATAAAAATTACCGATAATTTTGCAAGAAAGCCTGTTATCTGAAGATTGCAAGTTTATTTTCAAGTTTTGGCGAAAGAGCCCGAGTCCGAAGGACGAGGGCTCTTTTACAAAATATGAAAACAAACGAATGCAATTTGTATAAGATAACAAACACGCTTGAATGCAAAATTGTCTGGTAATTTTTATGCACGAATGTAATTCATTGGGATATTTCACGAAGTATATAAGGAATTCTGTCTGTTGGATTTGGTATTTTTTGGTTCACTTTCATTTATACTTTCCTAGATAGATTGTATGGAGCACTAACATTTTTATCACTTTTTGAAGTCTGTCTGACATTTATTTGTATTGTTTACTGGCGTCTAGCGATATGGCCTTATATACGTGTTGTTATGACGACGGGATCTCTTTGCAGTGCAATCTTCGCTCTGCAGTGCAATTACCGATATATGAGGGAAATATTCGCGATAAGTTTTTTTGTTCCTATCAACTTATTGGTAATATACCTATGTGATAATTTTTAGGTCAAGAATGAAGCGCCTTATATCTATTGGCAAAAGCCACTCAGTTTCATTCGACACTTCATATGTATAGGCATGTTATATCAGATGTTAGGGTTGAAAACGAATTAATGTTTGTAATGTAATTCTTAATAATAAACCTTAGTTACTAACAAGTAAAATCATCTTTCATATTCATGTTTTTTGAGGTTTGATTTGAATTTAAAACTATAAAGATATTGTATTTCAGATAACAAATTTATTTTTTGATATTTTTCACATTTCAGTAATGAAAACGAGTTATACCTGTATAAGTGTCAAATTTTATTTGACATCTATGCAGATTAGGTCTTGGGTTCATCTCCTTATCATATTAAACGCAACTCCAATTCATTAAATTTTTTTACCGAATCTCCATCCTACGCAGCAGAATATAATTCCCGCAAATTCTTTTCTCGGCTTGAAAAATAATTCTGCTGCTATATATTGCTATATATTATCGAAAACGTTAGTAAATGAATTGGGCTTCTCAGCCACGCTTTTTTTTAAAGTGACATTTTCATTTAAAAAAAGTTGTAAGAAAAAATACATTTAGAGGTGGAATAATACAACCCCTTCTAAGCATACTTCAGGGTTGAAAAAATTTCAAAATGTGTAGTTTTATTAACAAATAATATTCACCAAGTTTCGTGTCTTCAGCTTAATATACAGGGAAAATAAAAAAGAAAAAACTTTTTTTTTGTTGATCTTCCGAGGTAACTTTTCCGGGAAGAGGTTTATCCGAGGGTTGATCAAAAAATTGTATACCAAATACCCACTTTCATTTTCATCACAGAATCACCCCTTAATTTTTCTCGGTGTTATTTAGATACACCCTCTATAGGAAATGAACATGCTGCATTGCAGAATTTAACGAAAGCAAACAAGCCCTTGCAGCATTCACTGAACCCGATGATCGATGAACTATGAACTTCTCGTGATCCAAAGACGAGATAAGTTCATTTGGCTCTCGAAAATCCAACAATCTACCATTTCATTCGCTATTCGCATCTATTCGTATCCGCACCCTTCGCCCTCATATCCCAGCACACTCTTGATATACCGCGACCCTGCCAGGGTTGCCACAGGTGGTACAATTGTACCAGATTTGGTACATTTTGTCAAGAAAAGTACGCTGGTATTCTCAATATAAGACGATTTTTGGCATCATTCGCTAGGTATTCATCGATATTTCATATTTCATTCACATTCACATTACCCGTCATGGTTATAGCTGATAATCCCATTTCATTGTGACGTCATTTCCGTTCGGGTACACCTCCCCTACCTGCCCTTGGGTTTACCAGCTCCATAGTTGGAAAAGGTGGTTAAAGGTAAACTTGAATAATATATTTGTTGATGATGATGAATGTGAAAAATGGAAGATATGATGAGAACATTCAAATTGAAAATGAATGGAGTGGATGTCCAAGTAAGAGATAGACGGGTAAACTGTGGAAGTGGGTATAGTGAACCCTCCTACCACCTAAATACTCTAACCGGGTTCAAAGGGGAATGTGAATGAAATATCCCTATATACTAAGAAATGGAAATTGTATATCCTTTCCAGGGCCGATCCTAGCGGGTGTGCAGCGCGTGCCCCGCACGCGGGCGGCCAAAACAAGAGGCGGCCGCAGGCCGCATATTGTCCTATCAAACAAAATTATTTGAAACTCATAAGTCGAATGAATATGCTGCATTTTGAATAAATAAAATGATAGTAAATAGTGTGTTGGTCCATTGTCAATTAATGTCTACTTTTTATACACATTCTTATCTTCCCAAATTTTAAATTTCTATTTGAAACAATAACCAAGGGGCATATTTTTCAGACGCCTAAGGATGTTTTGTTCCATCACTGTGCGGTAGCTTATTTATGCATTTCTACTACTTACTAAGAGACTATGAGAGAAAATCCCAAAAAATCTGGAGAACATCCACTTGGTTAAACTACAGACACCATTTAAAATACTTTTCACTTGCTCTTCTTATTGTTCTTATTTTCAGATTCCAGATCATTTTGTATCAATTACAATAAACTGTAATATACTAATGTGATGAATTTGAATCCCAACAAAAATTTCGCCTGCGGCGCATTTTTTGCCATAGGAAAATTTTGGCCCGGTATGCACTGAAATGGAGTTATTACCTGAAAGCATTTGACCTTGAACTCAGAAAAAATTCGCCTGCGGCGCATGAAGATTTTGTCTACATTTTTTTTCTGTGTTTTACTTCTTATCCTTGTACAAGTAGTTGAAGTTATGATGTCATCAGGTATTATAGTTAAAAAATATGAAAAATTCTCTAGAGGGGCGGCACATTAGGTTTATGCACGCGGACGGCCGACACCCTAGGATCGGCCCTGATCCTTTCATTAATATTTATCGTGTAAATGGGCTTATATCACAAACAAAAATTATTTCATAATTCGATAGAACTCACCCAAACTAGCTCACCACCGCAAACCGTTTCTTGCTGTGAGCTCCCTACGTTTTATAAAAAAATATTGAAATCCCCGATTTTTCGGACCTCTGAAAACAACGAGGCGATGATGTGACGTCAAAACCCTAATACTGAAACAAGACTATTCCAGACAGAGATGAATGATACATGATTTCTGACAGAGTGAATTAGCGCGAGATCACAGTTGAAAAAATTAATTCATCAGTTGCCTCAGTCTCCGACGGGCGTTTGGTATTTTCTTTTAACTATGGTTTCTACGTCATAAGAGGGTCCTTTTTCAAGAGGTACTATTATTTATGTCCAAAATTAAAACATACCAGTTAATTTTTCGATCGAATTATGTCGTCAATCATTATTTATGTATAAAAGGATCATTATAAACATGGTTTGTGTTCAAAGTTCTACTAAGGTGTACACGCCCATTACATTATACCTCTAGAATTGAACAAAGATTCATACCACAGAACTCGAGTGGTTCGATGCAGGATTACCGACCCAGGAGGACATTGAAACACAACCTCACTTTTCTGTAAAACATAGAAACACCTCAATTTTCTTATTTGTTTACAGAGGAATTGAAATAATTGTTTAACAATACGTTGGCATACGAATCGTGTTTTTTGGGCTATTCATTAATTCAAGCATGCCATCTCGGTGTGCTGTTGAACAATGCACAAAAAATGCAGCGAGAGACGAAGAAATCCGATATTCAGGTAGGTACATTGTGATCTCAAATAAGTACTATAGTTTTCATATTGAAATTTTGTCATTTCTCATTGGAATTCCTTCTGCAATAGGAGCTAATAGAAATACTCTTGAAGTTTCTATGCAATCAAATGGAAGGACTGGTCTGTGTGTCAAGCTGACGAAATATGATCGTGTAATGTTGAATGCATAATGAAAACCGAAAACGATTTGAGATCACTATTTTTACCTGAAAAATCATATTCCTTCGTCCCTCGCTCAATTTTTTGTGCATTGTACAACATCACAATGTGATGGCATGCGTATGCCAAAATATTGTGAAAAACTATTTCAATCTTTTGATTCCTTTGTAAACAAATAAGTAAATAGTTATTTGTTTCACTGGGCAGAAAAGTACCAGATCTAATGCCGCGGATGGCGTTACTTATAGCCTAGGCGTAGCCGAGGCTAGGAAATCAGCTAAGGCATTACATCTTCTTCTCTGCCATGTGAAACATATAATTTTTTCTCCAAATTCTTTACAATTTCACGCAAAGTCCGAATAATCCATCATTTTTTGTTCACCCAAATTCATTATCAATGTTGATTACCAATTTGATTCAAATTACTTGGAACGTTCCATAGCAACAAACTTTTACTGCCTGTTAAGTGTCTTTAAAAATCCAGAGAGAGAAATTAGCATTCCGTGCGAGCTATACGCTATAATTTTTCTACGGCTGTATAACCAATAACAGCGACATTTTTGATTTTTTCGTCTTGTAGCCATCTGATTTCCTCTCAAGTAATGCTCATCTATATTAGACAGAGCTGTCATTGTTTGAAATTTGACATTCCATGAGCGATGACATTTTTTTGAAATAATAACACAATGAAGTCATTGTGATATGAGATAAGGAAATAAAATTGATGACATAGTACATGGTCCATCTAAATGAAAACCTAGTAGGCTAGGCTACCTAGTACGCGAGGAGGTACAATATAAGCTCTTGCCCACTAACTAGCTAACTAGGTTGTCATCTAGAACAACAATGGACAGACAATAAAACAAGAGCAATTTTGCGTTATAGCCGTAGAAAAAAGAGGTTGTGTTTCAATGATTCACAGAAAAATGAGGTTGTTGTTTCAATGTTTTACGGGTCGATCATGATGCACGCGTCCTATTGTGTATTGTGTA